ACCCACCCATCCCCCCCCCACCTCCATCATCCCGCTTTCCTATTTATAAGACTGATGTACAGCCTCCCCCCTTCCCCTTCCTGTCTCTTCCCCACCGTTCCCTTCCCTTCGCTGCCACAAATTTATACGCATCAGTGTGTATAACATTGTTACATGTCAACGTACATCTCAGATAGTGTCCTCATGAAAACTTCTGAGATTGTTCCTTTCTGTGTCTGTGTTATTGGTGGTCCGATGGTGTGGCATTGTTGTCTTGTGGACTGCATTTCTGAAGAGTAGAAGTTTAACTGGACATGGGAATGTGAAACCGGCAGTCAGATTTGTCAGCAGTTACCTCGCGAAATCATAATCGTTTTTACACTACAACTCAGCATCAACCTGAATTCATCTCTTTAGTAATTCTTCAGATTTGCAAGTTATGTTCCTTTTTTGAAAAATCAAGATGTTTTACTGTTGATTCTGACAGTGGATAAGGAAATAATTCTCAATTTTCCAACAAAGGAGAGTGCTGGTAGTTTTGTTAATGCCGCTTAGTTGACAAAGACAGTAGCTCTTGAATGTAAGAGATTGTGTGAAAAGGGGGGTAAAACTAATACAACTTGGAAATTAACTTGCAGATTACTCTTTAGTATCAAGTTTTCTTTTGAACTGATATCAGAAATGCTGCAGTGTGTGTGTATATATGTGCGTGTGTATGTGTCTGTGGGTGTATCTCTCGGTGTGTGTATGTGTGTGTGTGTGTGTGTGTGTGTGTGTGTGTGTTTGTCTGAGTATATATAGGCCTATATATAATTATTATGTGTCTGTGCGTATGTGTGTGTGTGTTTGTCTGAGTATATATAGGCCTATATATACATATTTATTATGTGTCTGTGCGTATATGTGTGTGGACTATTTTGGCTTGATGGGCACTCTCTGTCTCTATGTATCTTCACCCAGTATCTGTAGTGAGCAGTCCCTGTGCTCGACACCTCTGGAGTTGTCATATTATTACTATTATTATTATTATTATTATTATTATTATTATTATTATTATTATTATTAATATTGTTATTATTATATTTTTATTATTGTTATTATTCTTATTATTTATTATTATTGTTATTATTATTATTGTTATTATTATTATTATTATTGTTATTATTATTATTAATATTACTTGTGCCGCTTTTTTGTTCCATGTCTTTGATCGTATGACCTTATTATCTTTTCACAGTGTATTCCGTGTGTGCGTGTGTGTGTTCAACATCTGGTGTATGTGGTCGTATGATTGTGCAGTGGGCTCTGATTATGCCTCAGCGATGTTCCCGGTACATGTATAACTTAAGGCCTGTGTAGACTATCACTATCATCGTGCAAACCGTTCCCATTCAACTTTTTGAGAACATTTTTTACTATATTATATCCGATCAGAGATCAGATAAAGTGTGTTTGTAGTTTTTAAGTATTCTGACTTATGATTGGTTAGTAGTACTATGTTTGTTGAAAGGCGAATGGTTTGCGAGCTTGTCCACACCTGGCTTTAGACTGCACTGCTGTCTGTGACATTTGTTTGTCGCTGAGAATTCACTTCTCTGTCTTACTGCTGCGGACTGTTTCTGCATTCTGTGCATTTGCAGTTTTTGTTAGCGAGTCGGCGCCTTGTGGAATGTACAATGGAAGTGTGTCATGGGATAGCGGTTAAAAATATGTCATGCAGTTAGTGCCACTTAGCGTATGGTTGAAAATTGAACAAAGGTTTGTACAAACATTATGATTGGTCAGAGATCAATTATTATAGACAACTTAAAATTGCAATTTTTTTGCATAACTTAAATTAATTTTTGAATTGGAGGAAGCCTTTATAGTAAAATATAAATTGTAAATTTTGAAACATAAACATAATATGATCTTTCTCACACACACACACACAAACACACACACTGTGGTAATCTGTACCCTCATTTCAATAACATTTTGGTTTAAAATATTTTGATTATTCTTTTGATTTTTAATTATCTTTACTTCTGAAAGAAGTTACTACTCTACAGAAAGCTAGAGTACCACACTCACTTAAGTAAGTTACAATGTCTTAATCTATTGAAAAAAAATACTGAGGATTCCAAATAGAAACCCAATTTAAATTTTTTTTTTTTAAACAAGACAAAAGAATAACTATGCTTGCTGGTATGTATCAAGGTATGAAGATGTTTCAAGACATTTAGATCACAGTTATAAAACTTTTGGAAAACCATTTAATGGTTTATTCAACTGTGATTTTAAGGCCAGAAAATCATAAGTGCTTAACTGTAGATATGGATATATTCACCTCTAACGAAAGGTCTCTTTTCTACTGTGGAAATATTTATAAGCCAGATTTTAGCAGATTTGTTCGATTTTTGCCTTTCTTCTGTATGGTTGTGCTTGCTGGTTGGTCACTTCTGGCTGGACTTTTCCCCTTGCCCAGACAATGTCCTGAGACGAACACTCCAAAAGACCTCATTTGTTGTTGTACTTTGCTGACTTGTGTGTGTGTTCCAAGTGGTCACCGGTAGATTTTGAGCAATCACTATATTATTTTATTGTTGAAGACCACCAAACTCATATTGTGTGAAACTAACCCAACCCCAATTTGTTTGTTTTTTAAAAAGTTAATTTAAAAATGTTTTTAAATTGAAATTGTCTCTTTTCTTATTGTTGTAAAATGATCAATTCAGTTATGGGGAAATGCAACAGTCTGTGTATGAACAGTAGTAGGCCGACATTGGTTTGCTGGGAAGTATTTAAGAGCTTTCACTTTCCTCCCCTTCTGGAACTTTCAAAAGTTTCCAGAATGCTCAAAAGATCAGACTAACTACCTATAGTGCCTTTGTTGACTGTTTGAATGTTTGACTTTCCGTTCCCCTTCTGTGTGATGTGTTCATCTTTTTCTTTTGCTTACAGTTTTGTAAGTTCTGCCCCCGGAAATACTACGTTACTTTTCAGATGACCGCAAAAAAAATTGCGATTTGTCCGTCGGATTGTATTTTGCCTTATACTTCGCTGTTTTGTTTTCGGAGTTTGTGGCCACTTTTTCATACAGTTAGGTAGTTTTTCATAGTAGTATCGGATTGTACAAAATTTGATATATCCACAACTTTGTGTGTTCATACCTGTACATGATCTTAGTGGTAGAAACGAGGGTTGCCTTCCTCTTTGTTCACATTCCTGGAGACCTCGGTACTTTGACAGCTCAGTGACTCCGCCATACGTCGTTTCTTAAGGTGGCTTATGGCAAAGTCTTATTATTTACCCGGTGCCCATTGGAGGATCGATTCAGTTTCTGGTGGCTTCAGTGCACACAATAAATAGACCAACTGCCCACACCGATCACCCGATGCTTGCCTTTGAAAACAAATGAGTTTGTTATTGAAGGCCATCATCAGTTTTGTCGGTTTTGACAGTTTTGACCCTCCTGTGGAGGACAATCTGACTATCCCCAAACTGACAATTCTAGCAAAACTAACAAAACCAAACCAAACTGAACCGATGATGCAAATGGGCACCCGGTATTATATACTAAGCATTTGATTTGTGAACACACAAAATCAAGTGGAGGATGAGGGTGTCAGTGGGGGGGGGGGGGAGAATGTACTTTTCCTCCCAAAAAAACATTACTAACTTCATTCTTGCAAATTGATATTGACTCTGTATCTGATCTCGAACTCGTAAGACTCTTCCGTTGGATGTATAATATTTTACTTTTCTTTTTCACATATTATCCTTCCCTCACTTTGTAGAACTGACAGTTCCTGATATTGTGAACAAAGAGTAGTCACTAACACATTACATAATCTCCCCCCCCCCCCCCTAATATATTTTTTTCATTATATTATTCTTTTTTAACCCTCATCTTTAGCCTACATTTCTGTTTGGATAGAATCTGAAGCTATTCACGCCTGGATTAGAAAGCCATGACTTGTTTTGACAGTTCCTGATATTGTGAACAAAAACTAGTCACTAACACATTAAATAATCTTTTCCCCCCTAACATATTTTTTTCTTTATATTATTCCTTTTTAAACTTCACCTGTTTGGATAGAATCAGAAGCTATTCCCACCTGGATTAGAAAGCCACTTGTTTTGACAGTACCTTTTCTTGTAACACGATAAAAACTTTGCTTGTTCAAGACATGACAATTCTACTCAGCTTTGAAAAGTAGAAAATGAAACTCATTTTGAAGTTTGTGCTATGAAAAGAATTATGTTCAAGCTGGGAACAATCAAAAGTTCAGTCAATGGAAGAGACATGGATTTAAACGTTTATTTACTGAAAATATCAGAAACAAAATAATCAGAGCTTTGAACTCTCTAATTTTGCAGTTTAGCTGACGGAGAGAAAGGGTATGGATTTTGAAGATGATAGAATGTTTTCACATGCCGAAGAGAAGATCTTTACCCCTAAGAGAGAACCAAAGTAACATGAATGAAATAGTCTGCTATCTCATTTGCATTTTGTGTGTCACAATTTTTATAAAAACAACTCTTTTTGGACGTATGGTTGATAATAAATCTGTAACTTCTGGGGAATAGGTTTGGAGCTATTGCCAGTATATCAGCAATTTGAACAAGGTGGAAAGATTATTTCATTATTTCCATTCTATTGCATTTATAACATCAGTGAACATCAAAATTCAGTTACCTTTCCAATGATACATATATGTCACTGTAATGTTTACTTTGCCATCTGTAAAAGCCATTTTTTTTTTCATCCCCTCAAAATAGTCGCAAGGTCAAAAATGATGTCCAAAGGGTTGGAAACTGCTGCTAAAAAATTACGCCCCAAAGGAGTTAACTCTTTCACTACTCCGAGCCTTGTTTTACGGCTTGCCACTTCCTACTTCAATACCACACCTACTTTTTTAATAATCAAATCTGAAGCCTCAGGCTGAAGAATGATCGTTTTTAGCAACATGTTGAGATAGGTCATTATTTCCCCTTTATTTCCGTATGTAATACATGTAGCTAATATTGAAAATTGAGCTTAAAATTCTTTAATTTGTCCGATTGTAGGCAGAATCAGAAAGTAGGTCACAGATAAGGCGCGGTCCAGGTGAGGTCTCCCCCCCCCCCCCCGGTAGTGAAAGAGTTAAGTCACTGTTTTGCACATATTTATTTTAAAAACATAACTATGAAAAAATAAAAAGGTCTAAACACCAAAATGCACCACAACTCCTATTCCCAGAATTTTCCCGCTGAACTCTTATCTTTACACAAAAGTAAAGACATTGTGATGTTGTGTTATGTTGAGTTTTGATAAATTTACTGAAACGGTGACAGGTCAGCGCAGCAGGTAGAAATACACCCTGTCGTCTTACCCTTGACTAATTTTAGAATTCTCGTTACCTTTCGCAGTGGTAGCACGAGATGACTTGGGCTCTCGACAGCGTCACCCTTCAGCAGCTGACAAACTAGAAGTACCGGAGGTCGGTGGCTCAGGTCAGAGGTCAAGATCACCATCTCGAGAAGGTTCTGCCAAAAACTCAAGGCCACGGTCTAGGTCACCTGGAAATATTAGAGTCACAGATGCTTCCAGATCACTCTCTCCCCCAGAGCTCAGGTGAAATTTTGCTTATTGTTGCTTCTGATATTTCTACTTTACAATCCTCTATTCGTATCTGATACTTCTACTTTGTCCTCTTGTTTGTCTCTGATTTTTCTTCTTTATACTCTTGTTTATTTCAGATACTTCTTCTTTATATTCCTGTTTATTTCAGATACTTCTTCTTTATATTCCTGTTTATTTCAGATACTTCTTCTTTATATTCCTGTTTATTTCAGATACTTCTTCTTTATATTCCTGTTTATTTCAGATACTTTTTGTTTATGATCCTGTTTGTTTCTGATTTTTTTACTTTTCACTCCTGTTTCTGATATTTCTACTTGATACTTAGGCGGATAAAAAAGCGTAATTGAAGTTGCAAAGTACATGTATCTTAAAAATTGTTAATGTTAATAAATTATATGAACCTCAGATTTCCCCTTGGAATATTCTTCTTGTCTTTGAATGCAGGATTTCAGCCTCCACAGCCCCATTTCTGGAAGGCACAGGGGTAGTAGTCAGCTTCTGTTATGTTTTACATTCAGCTCTGAAACTACAGTTCTTTCTAGGTCCTGAATGCGATCAAACTTTTGTTCTTTGAAGGCTCAGAACTTTTGAACAGCGTACTGACGATTTCCACGTTCTATAACTTTTGTCCTTGTACTTCCAGGGCTGTTCCATCGGGAACGTCACAGCGGTCCTTCCCTCCTGCATCGTCACGATCTCTCGGGGGAACTCCAACCAGCACTCCTTCCCCGAAGAAACGCCAACTACCCGCCATTCCATTAGACGCTCAGAAAGCCAGTCGAGACAGAGGTATATCATCATCATTATTGTCATCGTCATCATCATCATCATCATCATCATCATCATCATCATCCTCATCATCATCATCATCATCATCATCATCATCATCATCATCATCATCATCCTCATCATCCTCATCATCATCATCATCATCATCATCATCATCAATGCCTTTTACCCCTGGCAGGGTATAAGCCACTTGCAAGCTCCTTCCATTTATCTCTGTTCTGGGCCATCCTTCCTAGCTCATTCCCAGTGAGCTTCATCTCTCTCACGTCCCTTTCCACGCATCTCCTCCATGTTTCCCGTGGCCTACCCCTGCCTTGTGCTCCCTGTAGGTTCCATGCAGCGACTGTCTTGTGATGTTTTTGCTGGGCTCTCTGAAGATGTGTCCTACCCATCTCTACTTTTTTAGTCCTATTTCTATTTCTATATCCTTTTGTCCTGTCCTTTCCCACAGCTCTTCATTTCGCATTCTATCCTCCCACTTAAGTCTTAGAATACTCCTCATACATCTATTGATGACTGAGGTATAGCTATGCCAGAATTTGTATTTTCTAGAGAGCTGCAGTAAAAAAGTTATGAGAAGTGTACCAGCCAAATATACAAAGGGACCTCAATAATTGTGAGGCACGGAGGTGAAATCAGGCGCTCATCAAAATAATGAAACCACAGAAATCGGCATTTTTTGGACAATGGACGATTTTTCCTTATTTTCTTTTTTTGGCTCCTCACCATTTATGTCCATTGGAAAACACATTTTAGCGTGGAGTTTTGTAAAAAACATTTATTAAAGGTACAAAAAAAGTAAATTTTCAGTTTCCCAGGACTCTCAGTTTATGGAAGTTATCAAACTTTGGCGGCCATTTTCTCGTTAATTTTACCTCTGAAACCAGAATAATTATTATTATCTATTATTATTTTCTATTATCATTTATCTATTATTATTATCTATAATTATTATCCTTTATTATTATTATAATCTATTATCACTTATCTATTATTATAATCCAGTATCATTTATCTACTACTATAATCCAGTATCATTTATCTACTTCTATAATCTATTATCATTATCTATTATTATAATCTATCATCATTTATCTATCATTATAATCCATTATCATTTAATCTATTATCATTTATCTATCATTATAATCCATTATCATTTAATCTATCATCATTTATCTATCATTATAATCCATTATCATTTAATCTATTATCATTTATCTATCATTATAATCCATTATCATTTAATCTATCATCATTTATCTATCATTATAATCCATTATCATTTAATCTATTATCATTTATCTATCATTATAATCCATTATCATTTAATCTATTATCATTTATCTATTATTATAATCCATTATCATTGATCTATTATTATAATCCATTATCATTTATCTATTATTATAATCCATTATCATTGATCTATTATTATAATCCATTATCACTATTTCCCCCTCAGTGACCCAAGACCTGGAAGAGCGGGCCCGGATAATGAAAATGAAGATGAAGCTGGCTCAACAGGGTCAAGGGGGAGGAATCCCGCACCCGGAGAGCGACTCTCGCCTTACCCGCCGTCGAGACCGCCACGACGGCAGCGACCGCATGCACGACCGCAGCATCTCACACGACCGCGTGGAGAGGATGAGGGAGAGGGCCATGGAGAGGAACTACGAGCGAGGCAGGGACCATGACAGAGGGCACCGGACCAGGAGGAACAAAGGTCAGAAATATAGTAATGGTAATAGTAATAGTAATAATCATAATCATAATATAATAATGATAATAGTAATAATAGTAGTAGTAGTAGTAGAAGTAGTAGTAGTAGTAGTAGTAGTAGTAGTAGTAGTAATAGCAATAATGATGATAATAATAATAATAATAATAATAATAATAATAATAATAATAATAATAATAATAATAATAATAAATGTAGTATTAGTAGTAATAGTAATAATAATCATAATAATCATAATAATATTAATAATAATAATAGTAATTATAATAATAATAATAGTAATAATATTAATAATGATAATAGTAATAATGATAATGATATTGATAATAATCAGAATCAGAATCATAATAATAGCTTGCCCGTCAATGTCTGACGATGACCTATAACCAATACATCCGCAATCCAAAATTGAGTCGATAGTGCCGTAAAACTCCTTCTCAATCAATCAATCATAAAACCAATATATCTGCAGACGAGAATATTGCTCCATAAAAATAAAGAATTGAAAGAATTGAAAGGTTATGATGACTTGTGGCTTCTGCAGAGGCTGATGAGACCAATCCTGGCAGAGAAAAGTGTGCCATATTTTTAACCTTTAAAGGTGCAGACAAATATAGCATCTAGTGTAGAAAAAACGGCAAACATTTGCAAGCAGGGATTTGTTAACGAAATGTTCACTTTCATGCCTGGAACCACCTAGGAGTGGGCACTTTAGAAGTGATCTTGATTGTTATTATTGTTATTATCAATATTATTATTGTTATTATTATTTTTATTATTATCATTATTATTATTATTATTTTTCTATCATTTTTATTATTTTTATTATTACTACTATCATCATTGTCATCATCATGAGCACCATTTCTTTTATTATTATTATTATTATTATTATTATTATTATTATTATTATTATTATTATTGTATGGATGTTGTGTGCTGACCACTGTATTACTTTCTTTAACTCTGTAGAGTTCAGCCCTGACATGTCGGATGACGTCGCCAGTGACGTGTCAGAGACAAGCGACATGTCGGAGGTCAGCAAGGTCAGCACCATCAGCGTCCGGTCAACCCAGTCAGAACGGCCGCGGAGAAAACTCAGGTGAGAGACTGGGCTACGTTTATACAGTAATGATCAAGTGCATTTTATAGCAGGGTTTTAGTTTTCTCTAAGTTTTTTTTTGTTGAGTTTTTTAGAGTTTTATATCGATGGTTCGGTTCAAGAAAGCCATTTGCCATGTTTTTCTAAAATCGCCTTTTTTTTTGCTTTTTCATTGCTGCAGATCTTTCTCTGTCACTTCTATCAATCTTTTTGATGGGAGGATTGGGTTGTAACTTTTAATTTTCAGTCCTATCCTCACACTACAGAAAAGCAAGAAAAAGTTTATTTTAGAAAAACATGGTGTACAGGCTGCTTGAATTGAACGGTCATTATGTAGCAAGGGTAGACAAAGTCCCCCCACCAGGGCAGTGCTACTGACTGACATTGTCTTTAGGTTATTCCCAAAGGGGGGATATAAACACATTTTTATGCACAGTAGAATTGTAAATGGACTGATTTTTCAGTGTCATGCTAATACTGTGCCGGAACAACATAGGGGGAGCTGCTGCTTTTTCTTTCCTCATCCTTTCTATCGTCATTTTCCTCTATTTCTTTTGTATGTTTGTCACTCTCTTGTGAACTTTTATTTCTGGGATGCCTTGATAGTCGAAGCAGACTTTGTGCTGTTGAGGCTAGAGAGGTGAGCAGAGTAAGTCTGATTCCCCGTTTGCACTTCTTTGTTGACATCTACCTATTGGCGCTCATGTGACCTTATGCAGATGCGAGCACCATAAAACCTTACTAACATTAAACTAAAACTCTAACCCTTTTCTTTCCTGGCAGTGAATTTGCCTCCAAGATGGAGAGCCGGACCACCATGCCTCAGCGACGACAGCAGCAGCAGCAGCAGGCTGCCAGAAGCTCCAGCAACGAGAGCCAAGGATTCGACCAGAACGACGGGAGTGTCTCAGACTCTGCCGTCACGGCCAGCGTCACGGAGGGCCGGAAACGAAGGCCGAGTATAGGCCACAAGATGGCCGCCCTGGTCGGACTGAACCGGCGAAGCAGCAGTGCCTCCCAGCTTGCAGGTGCGGGACTCAAGAAATCTGGCAGAGGCAGGCGACAACTTCACAGTTCTAGTAGCTCTAGTCTGTAGCTGGCTGGGCTTGGCGATTCTGCTTGTATAGAGGCTTCTTTTTTTGGTGGAGAGACTGCTTCCAGTTTGTGCAATGCTTCATTCTTACTTTTCAGTTGCTGTTTTGGGGTACTTGCTTCAAATGATGGTTTGATGGTTTCTTGAGGTTTCATATGGTGCAAAGACTGCTTTAAGTTTGCATAATGCTTCATTCCTACTAATCTCAGTTGCCCTTTAGGGGTGCTTGCTACTAATGATGATAATGGCTTGATGGTTTCTGGAGGTTTCATACAGTGCAAAGACTTTAAGTTTGTGCAATGCTTCATTCATACTAATCTCAGTTACCCTTTAGGGGTGCTCGCTACTAAAGATGATAATATGGCTTGATGGTTCTGTAAAACTTTGTTTGGTGAAAAATCTGCTTTAAGTTTGTGCAATGCTTCATTCTTGCTTTTCAGTTGCTCTTAAGGGGTGCTTGGTTCAAAAAATGATAATGGTTTGATGGTTCCGTGAGGTTTCATATGATGCAAAGACTGCTTTAAGTTTGCGCAATGCTTCATTCATACTTTTCAGTTGCTTTTTAGGGTGCTTGCTTCAAATGATGATGATGGCTTGATTTCTTTTTGAAGTTTTGTAAGAAGTAAAGACTGCTTGGCAGATCAAGGCCTTTGCTTCTTTGCCTTATTTTATTTGGCTGTAATTAGTTTACTGATTGGAAAGCTGTGATGGCGTAGACAGTATCCAATGCATTTTTTAAAAATTGACCGAGTGCCGTTTATAATGGATTTTTGGATATGTTTGCTTATCAGAGATAGCAGTTGCCTGGAGTTGAGTTAACTGTTTCCCTGCGCTTTTGTTATGAAAGTGATTTGTTTCATTTATTTGCATTTTTGCATTTGTCTTGTTTATTTTTATTACTGCATATCTTACCTGTGGGAACAATGTCTCGCATATTTTGTACCCTGTGGTGGGGAAGGGGTGAGAAGAAAAAAAAGACAGCTGATTTTTTTAGGGAGGTACATCTTTTATTGTAAAATAATATGTTTCCAATATTTTGACCATCTAAGTATGTAGGGCACAATTTCTGAATTAAATACTATCACAGCATTTGCTTTTAATCTGATTTCTTTTCAAGTGGGAAAACTTTCAAGGCAAACAGAAAGCAAGTTCTAAGAATGATAAATCTTTCAGATACTTTTGCTTCTGCTACAAGATTTTGTTACAAGAATTATTTTATATGATACGTAATCTTTTATATTTACGACTCTTTCATTTTTTTCAACTTAACAATAACACAAAGTGAGAGTATCATAACTGTTCAGACGTAAAGTTGATGTCGGTGTGATATAGCTTTGAACTCATGTCCTAAGGTCAAAAGATTCACATTTTTCTTCATAATTTCTTTAGACCCCCTCCTTACTTTCTATTTTACCATAATAATCTACAGAATATGCAGGGTTTCATCATTTTTGGATGCGTATATCCTAATTGTTCTTATAGACCCTTTCCCAAAAAATTTTCCTGTACACGTTGGTGCTCTAGTACGGTTTGCTCCTTATTTCCTATCAAACAGCTATCGTACTGATCTCTTCTCCTTTTTTTTTTTTTTACTCTCTTGTCAAACATCCAATCTTCGGCACTTATATGACCTGACCGTGTTTCAAATGCCGTGAAAGCTTACCAAAATAAAACAAAACACTTGTTCTTATCGTATGTCTCCGATGCTTGTCCCTCTCCCCTCGTACATGTTTGATAAGCTCGACACTCTCCTCCAGGTGGTGGCAAAAAGAGAAGCTCCTTCCAGCGGAGCGAGGAGATAGGACCAGTGGACCTCAGAGGGGGCATGTCGAAACAGGCTAGCAAAGACTCAACAGATGGCAGTATTGGCAGTATTAGTAGTGACTCTTCCAGTGTGTAAGTAATCATCATCATCATCATCATCATCATCATCATCATCATCATCATCATCATCATAATCATCACCCTTGGAGAACATTTTTTTTTCTAATATTCGAGACAAATGTTGTTACAAAATGGTTAAAAATATCCCCCCCGGGCGGTGCCACTGACTGAAGTGTCTTTAGGCCATTCCCAAAGGGGGGACATTTTTCATTCTTATGCACAGTAGAATTGTAAATGGGCTGATTCATCAATGTCATGCTCATAACTGTGCCTGAACTACAACAAGGAACTGCTGCTTTTTCTTTCCTAATCCTTACTATCGTCATTTTCCTCTACTTCTTTTGTATGTTTGTCGCACTCTTGTGACCCGCTATTTCTGTGGTGCCTTGAAAGTCGAAACAGACTTAGTGCTATTGAAGCTAGAGAGGTGAGCAGAGTACTCAGTAAGTCTGATTCCCCGTAAAGACTTCTCTGTTGACATACACCCCTTGGCGCTCATATGACCTTATGCAGTTGTGAGCGCCAAAAAACCTCTACTAAATATAATAAAAGGTTAGAAATATACGAGAAATTTTCTGTTTTATCCTCATCGGCATTGTCATGTTCATCATCATCATTATATTTTGGTTACTTGTGGATTTTTTTTTTTTTTTCATTTGTTTTAGTGTCAATTACTGATATTCTGAGACAGAATTGTTGAAACTTTTAGTCCAGCATCACCCTTCTTCTTACTGATTCTGCTCTTATCCTAACTTTTAAGTGTATTATTATTTTTATTGTTATTATTATCATGATTATTATTATTATTATTACTATTATTACTTTTTTTACTATTATTATTATTATTATTATTATTATCTTTTTTATTATTATTATCATTTTTATTATTGTTGTTATTATTATTATTATTATTATTATTATTATTATTATTATTATTATTTTATAATTAGAAATAACAGATGAGGTTAAGTTACAGAGAAACACTTAGATGTGATAATAGTCGATTGACGAGCACCTCATTTCACAGTGTCGTGACACAAATTGTGTCTGTGAGGTTGTAAAATACGGTTGCTTTTAAGGACAAGCGGGCTAACCCAGGTTTCGAGGGTTTCCAGAAATCTTGATCTAGACCAAAAGTGGGCATTGCCCTACCTATAGGAGAAGTTTGGTTTCATTGTTGTGAATATTTGTTTGGTATAGAGAAAACTCTCCTTGTCTTTTAAAGAGACTGAAAAAGGGGCAAAAACTTTTACCATCTATTTTCTCAAAACAGGATTTTTCGGGATCGCCCCCTTGTGCTTAAAAGCGACCAATACATTGTTCTTAACGTTACATTCTGTCGTCCCCTCAGATTATGGCTTCCTACGGGCATGCGCCTGGGGCCCGAGGGTCAGTTTGGCGAGTTTGTGGACGGACTGGGGCCCTCTCAACTGGTGGGTCGCCAGGTGCTGGGCGCGCCGTGCCTCGGAGAGATACAGCTGGGCTTGTACGACCGCAAGGGACACCTGGAGGTGGAGGTGATACGAGCCAGGGGTCTTATGTCAAAACCCGGGGCCAGAGTTTTGCCAGGTAAATAATATTATGTTGTGGATGATGGAACAGCAGTTATTACAAGTAAAAATAACAGTCAAACGTGTCTCAAAGGGTTGACCATTGCTGAGTAGAAAAATGTTCGTCTAAGACTTTCTCACACATAATGACAAACAGAAACAAGCAGACTTATAAGGCTGTTTGTCGTGCTAAAAAAAAGTGGATGATGAAATTGGCTGAATACAAACCCATTAAAGAACACATTTCTGTGTGGATTTTACTGATAAATGTTGATTAAAGCCAGAAGAAATGTTAACTTTCAGTTTCCACGGACTCTCAAGCTAAAGAAATAACTCAACTTTGGTGGCCATTTTCTAGCTAATTTACCTCTGAAACCAGATGACCCTCACCTCCTTCAACCACACATATCTCGACTTTTATTCAACATAAATGGATATTATTTTCACCCAAAACAAGGAAAATGGAGATGATACCATCAACTCTGTATGACCCGAAGATTGACGACATCTTGAATCCACTGCGTCGTGACTCCACATTTCTGTTCCTTTTTATGAAATTCTCTTTCCGAAGGGCTAGAACCCAAATGGCCGCTGGATCGGAAAAGTAAAGTAAAGTAAGTATGAAATTCTTATGGCATTTTACGTACTTTGTTTTGCAGCTCCGTACGTGAAGGTGTACCTCATAGAAGGAAAACACTGTGTGGAGAAGCAGAAGACGACCACAGCACGACGCACACTGGACCCTCTGTACCAGCAGCAGCTATTCTTCACAGAGCCTTACCACAACAGAATCCTTCAAGTGAGTACAAGGCAGGAAGTTGCCAGCGCCGTAATACTCTTACTAAACTAAACTAAACTAAATTCGTTAAGTGAGTCTTATGCAGTTGCGAGCGCCGTAAAACTCTTATTAAACTAAACTAACTTTATTAAGTGAGTCTTATGCAGTTGCGAGCACCGTAAAACTCTTACAAAACTAAACTAAATTTGTCAAGTGAGTCTTATGCAGTTGTGAGCGCTGTAAAACTCTTATTAAACTAAACTAACTTTATTAAGTGAATCTTATGCAGTTGAGAGTGCCGTAAAACTCTTACTTAACTAAACTAAACTAACTTCATTAAGTGAGTCTTATGCAGTTGGTCCCCAGGTATGGAACAAACTCCCATGTAAAATAAGATCTGCCCCAACAGTTTACTTTTTCAAAAAACAGCTTTTTTATTCACAAATGCATACCTGTCATAATGATGTATACTGTTATATGTATATATTATGCATGTGTATGCCAGACTGCGAGACTGAAGAAATAATGTGTGAGAATGAGAGAAAGAGTGAGAGAGAGAGAAAGAGAGAGAGAACGGAAATGTTTTTCTATCTGTAGAGAACGAATGTTTTAATGAATGTGTCTAGTTGCTCACATTTCAATTTTATTGTGACCGTTCGTGCGCACATTAAAGATCCTTTGGTGTTTTAAAATCGATAAGAAGAGGAGGCTTCTGCCGCCACCCGAGCAAATTTCAAAATTTCCTAACAACTGAAAATGTTTAATGTCCCGCGCACTCAAATAACCTTATGCAGTAGTGAGCGCCATAAAACACTTACCAAAAAAAAAAACCCACCCACCCATACAACCGGACTGACTTCACATTTTCTTGTTCAATGTTACATCTACTAATATTTTGTTTCTCCCTTTCGCCTGTTCAGGTTACAGTCTGGGGAGACTACGGACGCATGGACAAAAAGGTGTTCATGGGAGTCGCGCAGATTCTGTTGGACGATCTTGATCTAAGCAACATTGTGATTGGTTGGTACAAACTGTTCCCAACATCCTCCCTGTTTGGCCACCACTCGTCCAGCACCGGGCTGTCTCAGTCAGGCCTGGGCTCCTCCACCTCTCTGGAAACCCTCATGTCCTCGAGGACGTAGCATTTGTGGACTTTAGAGACACCAATTTTCTTTCAATTTTCTCATGTGTATATATAAATATATGTGTGTGTATGTGTGTATGTGTGTTTGTTTGTGAGTGTGTATGTGTGTGTATATATTCTGGTGGTGTAATGCCCTGACTGTGAAACTGATTGCCTCGAACATTTCTCACACGCAAAAGAAACCTTTGTGGTTTGATTTAGAAGAGTGGACCCAACAATTAGACAACAGTATTTTTTACACTGCCGTATTTTTTTTCTCGCAGAATGACTCTTGGTTTTTGTGGGTTTTTTTATTGAGGACTTGCTGATTAACCCCAGTCAAGGTTATAGAACAAAAGGCAAATTGACACATTTCTTTCAATTAAACTCTTAGAGCATACACCATGTTATGTTTTATATATATATATATATATATATATATATATATTCAGACAACTTGAACTTGTTGTGGGGTTGTAGATTTCAGCCTGATCATATTGTGTGATGGGTTTCTGCAAGATACAATAGTAATGTGTCAGACTATGTCTGAAATTTACTGCGATCTTTTCAGAGTAAAAAAGTCACAACAAGGGTGTTACATTCGTCGTTTCATCTAGACTTTTGGTTCCCCTGTCTGTCACTATGATGCTAATGAGGTACCTACAGTATTGAGTGAATGGAAATACTGATGTGTCTTTTCTCCCCGCCAGTTATTTGATTATACCACTTCTTTTTTTTTTTTCTTTTTTTGTGAGTGAAGGAGAAGGAAGGAAGGAAGGAAACTTGAAAGATAATTTGTTCATTGATACGCTGCCTGTGCCTGTGCCCTCCCCCCCTTCTCCTCCTTCTCCTCCTCCTCCTCCCCCCCCCCCACCTCTCTTGTGAGGGAAGGAGTAGGAATACAGAAATACAGTGAGGTTTACTTTTGAGAATACTGTTCCGGGAAGCAAATTTTGAATTCTGTTCATCTGTCAAGTTAGTAGGCTATATAATATAATCAGAACTTTGGGTCTTTCTTAATTTTGCCTGGATATGAGATTTTAGATGTGTGCAATGATGATAAGTCTTTACTTAGCACTTCACCTTCTATAGGAGTGTTTTTATGAAGGAAGTTTTCAATTGTCCTACTCCTACCGAAAAAGAAAATATGAAGGACATCTTAACGATTTCCTATCCGTCGCAGAAAAAAGATATGCGGAAATAAGACAATAAGTCTTCTCAAATGGGAAAATAAGCCAACTCAAAAAATATCCTCATACATGGAAGGTATTAGTCTAAGAGGGGTGGGGTTGGGGGAGGAGTGGCTAAGTAGGAGAATCATTAGATTATGGTATTGTCAGTATCCCCAGCCTTTATTCTATTGTATTTTAAAATAGACGGTGTCTGGTAACCTATTAGGATAAAATTGTGAGCTGTCTTCATCTCCCTGTTCCAAATCTAGAGGAAGGTTGAACTCACATTTTTGTGTGGCATTCTTCAACCGAGGTACCAAGCTAGAAAATAAATCAATGTAAAACATTATGATAGAGCTTGTCAGTGTTGTCACAGACTTTGAAAACTTGATGTTTTTTGCAAAATTCCTACTGAAGAAATGATATTTCATTGTGTACAGATCTCATTTCTTTGAAGCAAGTTTTTAAAATATTTTTTAATGGTCTTCTTAATTTCTTACTAGGGATTTGCATATTAATTGAAACAATATGTTATGATGTTACCTTTATAAGGTTATAGTCGTGTAAATGCATTGTATACTTTTTAGTACAGTTTGGTTAATTTCACACGATATATTAATTTTCCAGCTGAACTTCAAAACATCAAGTAATGTCTTTTTCCATAGGCCACGGCAATTTTGAAGGTTTGTCTGAACATGTAAAGTTATTATTGAGATCGCTCTTATAGTCATAATGATGGGAGTTAAAAATTTTTCCACCACTAAATATGTGTCACGACTAGGTGGAATCAGGCGCTCGTCAATTTATGGGCATGTGGAGTTATTGGTATCATCTGAAAGCGGATTCATTTGCTTTGCGTCCAACGAAATAAATATCTATTTATCTTGAATAGAACTCAAGAAATCTGCATTTGAAGGAATTGAGGCCGCATGGTTTCTGTGGTGAAATTAGAGAGGAAATGGCCACCAAAGTATAGTGACCTTCATAGCTCAAGAGTCCTTGAGAACTGCACAATTATAATATTTTTGTGCCTTTAATCAACTTTGTTTCCATAAAATCAACACGTAAGAATGTTTTTGAATGGACATACAAGAGTCTTTGAAAACTGAAAAATGACATATTTTGCACCTTTAATCAATGTTTTTCTGTAAAATTCACATGGAAATGTGTTTTTTATGGGCATAAAAGAGGTTAACTCAAAAAATAAAAATTCGATAAAATAGTAACAGAAAAATGCCTGTTTCTCGTATTTCGTTATTTAGACGAGGGCCTGATTTCACCACGCTGCCTCACATAAGTAGGTCAGTGTGACTTATTTGTTTCCATACGACAATTGAAAAGAATAAATGGGTACGGTACATACGAAGTGAAAAGTAGGTTCATGGGCAAATTTAAATACACAAGTGAGATTTTTTTGCTCCGCAACTGATTTCCTGCGTAGGCCTACACGCCCCTCCCTCCCCCTCTAATCCTCCTTCACTGTTATTAATATCTTTTCCCTCTCCTCATTTCACATCATCAAAGATAGATAGCATAGCTGTGGAAGTGACAGAATGGATGTGTTTAGAGCACCCCTGCATTTTTCTTCTTTTCTCATAGAGCAAAACTTAATTTTTCTGCGAGCATGTACTCTTCTAAAATTTAATGAGTTGAAATTAACTTTCAAAGATTGAATAATTGAAAATGATAACAACCTAATAAAGTTGAAAACTTCAAAGAGTAAAAGACATCGAAAATCCAATTAAGTATTTCATAAATTGTTGACAGGGACAAAAGAGATCTTTCACAATTATTTTAGTTCTGTCGCTGTTTTGCAGCTGTTAGATTTGTGGACAGAAGGGTGGGTATCATTTATGGAGACATAAAGGAGAAGAAAATGAATATTTCTATCTTTCTAGAAATGATGTTGTTGTCATTTTTGGCTTAAAAGGAAAAGATTTGAGCTGTGACCTCATAACTCTGGTGGCAGAGTTTCAAGCTGTGAAATACTCTATTATATTTATTGTTTCCTGCCCCCCACCTCTTGACTTCTTGTGATATACTCATTAAGCGTGATCCAGGGCCGGGCTCGCCTGTTCTTAGCTTGATCAAAACAAAAGAGCTTGGCTGTGAGAAGCAGAAACATGGACAGAAGCTGGTCTTTGCTTGTGCCACCGTAGCACTACCCTAGAATGAAAAAGTTCTATCTGTCTGCTCTGCACCTAGTTTGGACAAATTTGCCGTTGAAAAAAAATTGAGTTTCTCAACATTTTTAAGCTTTTTCGGATGCAGTTCTCTTGGAATATCTTGAAAACAGCTCTGAATAATCTTACGATTTTGGTAGAGCGGATAGAACATTCATTTAGTTTCTGACCTCATGGTCTAAGTAACTCAGAGAGACCAAAAGTGTCAGATAGAACTTTGTAATTCTAAAGTAGTGACATATCATGGGGTTTGGAGAATTTGAACGCTGTTGTTGTTGTTGTTGTTGAGGTGTACACGGAATTGTCTCCGGTATACGTCACTAGTTGTGTACCTGTATTCTGTGTCGAGTCCGCTTTCTTTTGTCTACTTCTTCTGCATTTCCTCACTAGATCTCAGAGGTAGCCAATTTTAGGTTCTTCCAGCTTACAGCGCTGTTCATATATGTAGGCATATAATGCTGGAGGGGGTGCTCTGAAAAAGCTGTGGGACCGTTGCCTTTCAGACTGCCTTATGCCATTTTTTTTAAGTCCTCAAATTCGTGGAAACAAATTTATTGTTCAGTTTTTGGTAGGAATTTGTCGTCTGCTTGAATTTTTTGCAGACAATCCCATTCTTCTTCAATTTTCAACTGACTGCAAGGTGTTTATATCGTGTGCAGCACACATATGAGAGCTGTGAGTTTTTCGTCCTTTCTAAGAAGACTGGGTGATAGATCCTACCTACCTGAGGATGGGGAGATAGGGCCGGGCGGGGGGGGGGGGGGGGGGGGGGGGAGAAACATGTAACTTTTGAGTGCTACCCTAGGGCTCCCTTTTTGTGAGTCCAGCGTCAACCCTGGAGGTAGTTCGTACGTTGACATCGCTGTGTCCCTTGACTGGCCTCCCTCTTGTCCAGTAAGTTTTGGTTTTTTTGTTACTGCCTGATGCTTCTGTTGGTCAGTTTTACAAGACTTTATTTTTGGGACACCTGCTAAATAGACATAAGGGTATTGAACATCTAGCTCTCACTGGCAAAATTGAAGGCAAACGAGGCAGGGGTAGGCCCAGAGCAACCTACTTGGGGAACCTAAACAAATGGGTAACAGGGAAAGATCATGGAAACGTAGCCTTTTTAAGAGCATCCGAGCAAAAGGAATGAATGGAGAACCTTGATCGGCGATGTCTGTCACAGATCTGGCACTGGATGATGACGATGATGATGATGACGTTGCCCGCCAGCTGTTCAGATACACTAAGCTGAAAACTTTTTTAAATTGAAATTTTTTAATTGAGGATATTGGCCGCATGTTTTTGGGATGTGTTACGTCAAACAGTTCAAACTCTGGATGTGGGGAAAAAGAAAAAAAGCAGGAAAAAAAACATAATGTTTGTTCAATTTTAAACGAATGCACCCTTTTTTTTCTTTCAATTGAAAAATGTTGCTTTTTAGCCTTAGAACAGTGTTAAACAGCTTGCTTACAATATAATCCTGCTGGGTGGGGATGATCAGTTCTGTGAGCACATAGAGAAATGAGAATCCTTTATGAGTTGAGGTATGGCTAGAAGAAAACGCTTCAGCAGTAGCATGGGTATATTAGTGTTGAGCCTCCTATACTCTACTGTTTAATCTTTTAAGTTTTTAGTTTTAGTAAGAGTTTTACGGCTCCTGCAACACAAGAAGGGCATAAAAGTGCCAACGATTAGGGGTGTTACAAGAGAGTAACGTACAGAAAAAGAAAGAAAATTTGGAGATTGGGATAATAATAGATGTTTGATAGGAAAGAAGGAGCAAACCGCATCAGAGCACCCACCAACCACCTACGTTTCATCTTTAACCATTTTTGCCTCCCTCTCTCTTTCATCCAGGGAAAAAAAAAAATTTGGGATTTTTATTTTATTTTCAGCTCGGGAAGTGTTTTTCGTTGAGCTAAATAACTTTGCTTGTGTGGAAGCTGGATATATGTAACAATGGCTATTAGACAGTTCATTTTATGTATCAGTAAATTAAACGTAGTGGGGTAAACTGGTGCAGAATTCGCTGAAGGAAACTGATGAGGAGATGAAATCCTAGCGGTTGTGTTCAAAGACACGTGTGGTATTTCCAGCTTGCAAGTAGACTGTCTCATGCCTCGATGTCCCCTCACTGACTATTTCTATGGGTCGTTTCTGCTGTTGTGAGTTTTCTGGTTTTGTTTCTCCATTATTCCTGTGGGGAGTTTTTTTGTATTCTAAAAGTGCTGGCACTTAATCTTTGTGTTTGCTACGTTGAGCTTACGATGCATGCTGTAAGTAGTCTGACATTTTTGCTTTGAACGTTTATTGTCACTGGACGGTAGTTTGTTTCTCCCCTAAGCCTCCCCAGTATAACTTCCTGTACTCTGTCATAATCTTTATTGTGATAATAATTTGTATCACGGCGCGATGGAATCAGGCGCTCGTCAATTTTTGGGCATTTAGAGTTATTGGTATCATCTGAAAGCTGCCTTATTTGTGTTGCTTTCAATGAAAGAAATACTCATCTATCTATTCAATAGAACTCAAGATATTTGCGATTGAAGGAGATGAGGTAGCCATTTTTCAGTGTTGAAATAAGCGAGAAAATGATCACCAAAGTTTGGTAACTCCAATAGCTAAAGAGTCTTTGAAAACTGAAAAAAGACACATTTTTTGCCTTTAATCAATGTTTTTCAGTAAAATTCACATGGAAATGTATTTTTATAGGGACATATACAAGAGGTTAAGCCAAAAAATAAAAACTTGATAAAAATTTCAAAACTGGTGGGAAAATGCCTGTTTCTCCGATTTCGTTATTTTGACGAGCGCCTGATTCCACCACGTCATGACACATTTGTTCGCTGTGTCATCATAAAAGTGCACGCACGCTTGGAGAGATGTTTGCAAGTTTTTCATTCACGCATGACAATACCGGTTTCTTTTAGAAATTTATTCTAACTGCTTTGGAGAGCTAAATATTTGCATAAACTTTGTACATAAACATGAATGATACTGATCTTATGCACATACTCTGTAGTTTGCATCTGTGTCATGCATAATAATACTGTTTGTGTGTGAAGAGTGGGCACCTGATTTTCTGGGTTTCATTTTTTACTTCCATGTAGATTGCCAAGTTTTTCATGATCGCATTCGTAATGACAAAAACTCAGAGCTGTAGTGGAGAAAATTAGATTTTCTATTTTGTTTAAGTGTGTATGTGTCTGTGCAGTGAAAAGCGGAGGGGGGGGGGGGGGGGGTTCTTTTTTGTTATTTCTTCACCTCAAACATAAGTTCATTCCTTCAGGTTATGTCTCTTTGTGATCCTGTCCTTTCTAATAAAATTTACTTAACTCAAACAATAAATGTAACATAAGTATTATATTATTGGGTATTTGACCAGTAGGTGAAGAAGTAGCATCTTTGACAGATTCAATTCATAGTCAACGGCTTTAAACGTAAGCACAGGGCTATGGACTACTTCTCAGGATTTTTATGTAGTGGACGGAGTGGGGACGATAGTCTGGTTGTTTCCTCGCTTGTTTGTCAACTGGTAGTCTTACAGATTACGATTATAGGAGATAGAGCAGTCAGGAAGGGCATCATTCGTTAGGTTCTCGCCTATCTCAGATTGATACATAAATACACGGAAGGGTTCAATAGAAAGACGGGAGTTGCCACAAATTGGAAATCATGAGGGTATCAATTTTAAAACCTTGTTGACTCATAGCTTCATTTTAAGATAGTTTTTTTTTTTGGACTGGTGATTTATGTTTTTGTTAGTTGAATTGGAAGTCAAGCATTAGTAATAAACTAACAGTAGAACAGCAATGCATTTATGAGTGTACAGTCTGGAGGCTATTAAAGCTGATACCCTCACAAATTCCAGATTTTGATAATACCACCTGGATTTATTTTAACGAACCCTTTCATTTTTACTTCCAAAAATCTTTTTTTTTCTGAATTTACTTTTTCCAAAATTATAATGAATTGATGTCCATGATCACTGACCACAGGCTTTGAAGGGGCTCAGGCACTTGTTAGGGTCTTGTATAAAATGTAGAGGACTGGCGACATTATACAGGGTGCCCTTTGTTGATGGGATCCGATCGGGTCGGGACGGGGGCGATCGCCCCACTCATCGCCTGAAAACAAACAAGTTTGTTTTTGAGTCGGTGAGTCGGGTGCAATCGACTTGTGCCAGGATAGTCGCTTTGCACCCTCAATCTGGTTAGCAAACCGACCCGACCCGACTTGATCCCTCAATATGCACCCTGTAGCCTACTAGAAAGAGACCTTCTTATCTACAACTTCATTACGTATGCTTCAGTCATGTATGTTGAATAGATATGATTCTTGTTAAAACGAACCACATAATTTTTTTTAAACAGAGTATTTAACTTAGAGAGAGCTCTGCATATAATTACCAGTAATAAGTGGACAAAGAAACACGCTATTTTATTTACGCCATGAGCTACTTAGAGGCCACTCCGAAAAGACAATCAAGCTGTAGAGAGAAACCGAGCACTATTTAGGTTTGCACATTTGGTACCGTACATCGTCTTAACCCGATGGGCCCGTGGGCACACACCTCGACCTGCTGTGGTTGAACTCTTTGTCTGCGGCAAGTCGCTTCCGACAGCTCATGGTCAGAACCTCTGTACCGGTGAGCTGCTGGCAGCGGTACGGGAGCATTCCTTTATGACAACTTCAACATCAAATTACTTTTCAGGAATTTGTGAAAACAGGTCTCTTTTATTGGAAGTTCATTCATTAGATGAAGAACTATCGAAATAGGTTCACTTGTTTTGATTTAATGACCAGTTTAGTGATGAATATGTCATTTTTAGAATTCGTAACAAAGGAGGGTCAGGGCATAGTGGATTTATCCCCTCGGAGGTAAAGAGTTAAAACACAGCAGTTGTCTCCCAGGAGCTCAAGTGCAGGGAGCCAGGGCTCAAAGGGTTAATAAAGCACCACCAGTTTTTAGATTAAAAATATATATATACAGTTTTAATTTTTTAAGCACAGATCATTGTTATAAAAAATTGAATTTCTCATT